TTTGTAGATCGGCGCTGAACCCCCTCTGTCGGCACGCCCCGGCGCCGCCCCTGGCCCGCTCCGCGTGCCAAGGGCAGGGGGCCCAGCGCAGATCCGAGAACTCCGAGGCGGGCCTCCAGTTCCTGCTGCTCTGCGAGGGAGGCGGCACCAGGCAGGGTGGGCGGGTGGGCGGCAGGCCCGGCGGGGCGGAGGGCGGGGGGGGGCAGGGAGGGCGCCGAAGGGGGGGACACGAAGAGACGGAGCGGCTGCGCGACTGGGCGAGGCCGCGAGCGAGGGTGGGGGGGGGACGGGAGGGGGGGGCAGAGGCTGAGACAGCAAGGCGAGAGGGCGTCGGCGGGCGAGGGGCGGAGAGGGCAGAGGCCGCGAGGAGAGGCAGGGGAGGGCGGAGGGGAGCGCGAGCACCCGACGGGGGAGGAAGCCGCGCCAGGCCCGGGCGCGCCACCAGGCAGGGAGCGCCCGCGTACATGCGCAGCTCTCGGTCGTACCGCCTCGCTGGGACGCCCCCGCTCGCCCCACCGCCCCCCTCCACTGCCGCCGCCACTGCCGCCGCCGACGCTGATCGGTTCAACAGGAACGGCGGAGGGGCGAAGGGGCCAACCTCAGCGTGCCAGTGGACTGTGCACGGCTCGTGTGCACACGTCTGCAAGGCGTGGTATCGAGAGTGACGCTGAAGCGCAGCCCAAAGGCTCGGCCAAGCGGCACCAGGCTGCCTCCATCATGAATGGCACGGCACATTCTCTAGTGAACGAGAATCTGGCCAGCGACACGATTGCAGCACGCTTTTACCATACAAGATCCGCCACAGTGCCGCAGGCACTGGTGGAGTGTCCTCGGGTCTCTTCTAGTGCCTAGTATTGGAACTTGACTCGTCGGAGTACTCGCCGAAATCGGGGACGCTCGCGCGCGCGCGCTTCTGACGCTCGTCACGTGACCTTTCCGAGACCTCGGAACCCGTTGGCGGGCGGGGCCGAAGGACACTGAGATCTGCCACCCAATGTTGAATGATCACAGGGGTGCCCAGCGTTGCTAAAGTTCAGATGTCCGCTGGTTCTCGTTAGGACTCTCACCGGGAGCTTCGGTCCAACCCGCTGGCCACCGGGGAGGCCGCGCCGCTGCGCCAGAAACGTGTCCAAGACGGCCTAGATGGCCCCCAAGACGGCCAAGATGGCCCAGGTTGGCCTCCATGTTCGTCCAGGACGGTCCAAGATGGCCTCCATCCAGGACGGCCCAAGAGTGCCCAAGATGCATACAAGTCCGCCCAAGAGGCCACCAAGACGGCCCAAGAGGCCTCCACGAGGTCTTCCAGACGGCCCAAGACGCCTCCAAGCGGTCCCCCACGAAAGCCCGAAGAGGCCAAAATCACTGATTCTCCATTGGGTTTTGAAGGATTTGGGAATGTATTTCTTCTCGATCGTCCGACGGTCCAAGACGTTACAAGAGCCCCCCGAGATCGCCCCAAGAGCACCCAAGAGGCCTGCAAGATAGCCCCATAACAGCCCAAGAGGCCCCCAAGAGGCCTCCAAGTTGGCCCCCTAAGACGACCCAAGAGGCCTCCAACACCCCCAAGATGACCTCCCAGAAAGTCATGAAGCGCCCTGATCGGGCCCAAAGTCGGCCCAGAAAGGACCCCAAAACGGCTTCCGACTGCGTCTGACGTGCCAGGAACGCCCTGCGACTGCCAAAGTAGCCTCCAAGAATCTCCCGAATGCCCCCAAGAGGCTCAAGGAAGCCCCCAAGAGGCCTCCAAGAGGCCCCCAGGCAGCTCCTTGGAGACCCAAGAGTGTCCGAATAGGCTCCCAAGAAACCTCCTCCTCATTGTTCCTCCCTCTCCGCTTCTGCTTCTGCTTCTCCTAAATAGTATGATTGTTGCTATTAGTATGGGTATTACTGCTAGTACGATTAGTAGTACTACTACTCGCACGGTAAATAATAGTGATAATGATAATAATATATGTAATATGCTTGGTAGTGCGAGTACGCGCATCATGGGTATCACTCAGAATCAGTAGTATTACTAAGACTGCTGATATGACTCTTAGCACGGGTATCAGTAGTGTTAGTCGTAGCAGTCTTATCGTTACCATCCATAGCCGTAGTATGATTATTATCATTCGTATGATCATGTTCTTCTGGTTAGTAGTGTTAACATTGCTATGTTCAGTATGTTTAGTTCTCGCCCACGTGTTACCCGAAGGGTTTTCACAACGGCTGGGGAAACAGATAGTCCGATAGCTTGGCCAAGCCATGGCCACAACGTTCGGCCACATAGGCACCTCCAAAAAGGCAGGGGGCGGCGGTGATTCGCCGTAGGCGTCTTCGACACTGCAAAATAGGACGTGCGAGGCGAAAGGAGTAATTCTTTTTCTTCTGTGCACTAGAAGGAAGTGCAAGAAGATGCGATGCGAACATGTAGGCAAGGATAAGCGGCACGAAGAGTGCCGATCGTCAAGGTTATGTGTGAGGGAATGCGCAGATCACAAGACGAAGCATCGCGAAGATACGAGAAACCGTTCAAATAGAAAAACTGGAAAACGCTGTAGTGGGCACAGTGCGAGTTACCAAAATGTGAGAGTAACGCACGCTGTGCACTAGCAGATCCCGATAATAGGTGCGTGTTGATTTGCTTGTTGGTACAGCACACAAAGGTGTGTTCCAATAGGCAGTACGCATGCATCATGGTATGCTTACAAGAGGTACTTCGACTCTGCAAGATAGGCGAAACACTTGCCGACAGCCCACCCTGGCTCGACATTGAAGCAGGATGTGGAGAGCAAATGTGTCTGGCGCTCGCTCTTTACTCGTGCTGCCCAGCGCCTTCGCACACTCCTCATCCGAAATATGTTGGTGGCATCTCCTCCTCGCCCTCCTCCTCCCCCGCCTCCTCCTCCTACTCCTCCTCCTCCTCCTCCTCCTCCTTCTCCTCCTCTTCTTCCTCCTCCTCCTCCTCCTCCTCCTCCTCCTCCTTCTCCTTCTCCTCCTCCTCCTCCTCCTCCTCCTCGCGATCCCTGCCTCCCCTGGCCCACAAGAGGGCGCTGCACCTGACCATCGCAAGCTGGCAGAGCCGGCCAGGACGGAAGCTCACGAGCCGCAGCGGCACCACCCGACGCCAGCAGGCAAGGCTGGCGAGAGGGCCGACAGCGCTTGCGCGCGGAATCAGGCTCGCCACGTCGACGGCGCTCGGAGGCGTCAGATCGGCGGGCCTGGGGGGTAAGTGAGAGGGGGCGGGCCTCCTCAGAAGGCTCGGAGGCCCCCCGGCCTTCTGAGAAGTTGTCTAAGCCTTCCCCGAAGACACAAAACACTTCTCAAAAGCCCGAGGGCTTCTGAGAAGCCCCGCCGCCCTCTGAGAGGGCCTTCTCCTTCTCACTTCCCCCCTCGCCCGCCGCCGATCAGAGGCGTGGGACCGCGCGGGCCGCAGAGAAGCAAAAAACCTCAGAAGAGAGGTCGGACCTCCCTTCTGGAGGCGAAAATTCCCCAGAATGGAGGAAAGGAGCCTCCAGAACGGAGATCGAACCTCCTGCTTGAAGGTCTTTGAGCACCTGGGAGGGGCAAGGACTTACCCGCCCCATCCTGGGTCGGTCCCAGAACTGGTCGAGGCCCAGCGCACTCGTCCCGCAGAGCCAGCCTGGGCACCCCAGAGAGAGACGATTTGAGGAGCTCTAACGAGGGGTGAGCCAGCGCCCATCTGCCCACCACAGAGGAAAGACGGGGAGGAGAAGCAGCAGCAGCAGTCCTCGCACGTCTACAACCAAGCCGATGATCAAGAAGTGGCTGCGAAATCATGCGCAGCCGCTCGGAGGAACTGGGCCAGCGTCCCAGGAGCTGCTGGAGAGACGCTGGGCCAAGCCGAGGCGGGGAGCTTCCTCGATGATCGCGCAACTGTGTATGCACGACCTTGAGGGCACGCTAGAAGGGCCATCATAGGGGGCCGATATCTGGGGTGGCCTCTCCAGGGCGGGCGTGCTGGGGGCCCGCGGACGGCAATCGAAATCCTCAGCGAGCGCCTCCGAAAGCAGCTGACAATGATCTGCAGCTCCTCCCCCCACCTTCTCTCGACGTGGAAAAAAACTGCGGGAGATGGTTGTCTGTTTTCGGCCTCAGAAGGGGGGCTCGCCGGGTTCCGGGCTCCTCCCATCAACGAAGGACGAAAATCCAACCATGTACCGGGACGTTCAGGGACCCCGTCTTGCAAAAATCATCACTTAGGATCTCTGGGTCCCATGCACCCTTTCTGCTGCGCCCGGGGCGCCCCATGACGTCGTCGTGGCAGCGCTGCACAGTACGCCATACGTCGATGTTGGCCATCTCTGAGAGCATGAGAGCCCTGTGCGGGAAGCCGCTCCACGTCCGGAAGAGCCCGATCCGAATCATCGCAGAATTACAACACATGCAACTTTCGACTCGTGCATACTGCCGTGAAAAGAAAGTATGAAGTATGAACATTCCAGTTGATACGATATTGAATGAAGTGGCCCAGAAGTACGCATAAGAAGCCCAGACAGGCAGCCGCATATGAAAGCCGTGACGACGATGTGACTGCTATGCTGCAGCTAAGAGCCATGAAGGAGCTGCGGGATGGCAATTTTGATGCAAAGGAAACTGATACTTGCTGTTACAAGACTGAGACCAGTTTACGGATCAACTGTGACGATACATGGGAAAGCAATGAACACGCAATGAGTCACTGCGACAGCGGCCAGGTACCCCTTGCTGAAGAAATGAGGATACAGCGCACTGCGCCCGAAAGGATAGTTGACAGTGACATGGTGATTAGTCTGTGTCAGGCTGTGAATGAGCTGAACAGAGTGCATACCAAGAGACTCGAACTACAGCTCAGCATTGTCTGGCTGGGTCACGAAGCCCGAGTAGGGTATGTAATCAAAACAAGCACGCTCACCAAAAATATCATCTAAGCTACAAGAAGTATGCAATCAACTCCTGTGTAGTAGTCCAATGCATCGAACCCTAAGAGACAAGGTTGTAGTTCTGCTGGCAAAATACGA